GCGGCTTGTTTTACAACGTCGTTGCCAAGCGACGAAAACCCAACCCCGATGGCAAACACCGGGGCGGGCCGAGGGGGGGGCGGTCCTCATGCAAACGCATGCCGTATTCGTTGGACCATTGAATTCGCATCCCTCAAATGACGGAGCGATATGCCGGCCTTTCGCCATCCTAGGCTACGTTTCCCAAGGATGAAGCTGGTCATCATGCTTGCGGTTGCTGTGCCAAACCGGGCGGAGGTGAAATATAGCGTTTTTCGGGTAAGGGGCAGGGACCCGGACGGGGGATTCCGTGACAGAATGCACAACACACACCCTACTCCCTTCTTGTACGAACAAGCCGTTCAGCTTGAGGCGAGAAGTAAGGGTCAACAAACCTCTTCAAGGAAGACCGATTGGTGACGACGTGTTGCCATGTGCCACCTCCCGAACAAGGATAACAAAAAATAAATGACGGAGGCAATGCCCCGATCCTGTTGCTGCCGCAACACTTAAAAGCCAGGGAATTTGTGTTACCGTTTAGCGAAGCACACAGGATAGGATGACATGGAGGAATGTTACAAAGGACACCAGGCCGGGGCTAGCTCCGGCTACGCTCTGAAGCCGGTCATAATTTCTCCTCAGCGTAGAAGTGAAGGGTGAGGCGGCACACCATTCCAAACAAGGAGCGATGGGGTTTTGCTCGTGCCGGTGGGGTGGAACAGGAGGGATATACAGAGAAACACATACAAACACGCGCTCAGATCCTATCCTCGTAAACTCGCGAAGCAAGACAAGTATAACGACGAGGGCACTAATAAACTGGTACGTGCGGAGGGGGTGAAGAGTCGAGGCGTATAGCTTATCTTCCTTGCTTTGAGACAGACCGAAACCGTAACTAGTCGACCGCGCATGTTAGCCTCGTTCCTGTACTTACCAATTTTTCATGGCCACGGTTTAGGTAACTCTTGCTCGCCTTCGTGTTGAGGCTCGGTACGGTGCACCAACACATCTGCCACACCTAACCCGCGCTGCTTGCTGCCCGCACCCACGAACTCTCGATCCCAGACACTTTTTTAGAGGCATGTACAACAAACCTCGTCCCGACCGAAGCCCATGCAACCCAACACACCTGGTCAAGCATTATGCCGGTGACCTGGTGCAAAAAGTCGCTCAAGAAACCGATGGCCCGCGGGTGCGGGTAGATCTTCGTCGCGAGCTCGATCGACGTTGGCGCGAGGCTCCACCCCACCGTGTTGTTGTCCGCCAGACCCTGGCGCACGCTGTCGAAGGGAGTGAGGTCGACTGGGGGCTCCACCCTACGCTGCACTGCTGGCCGTCTGCGGTCCAATCTTCCAGAGCAGCAGCAGCAGCGGTAGCGGCGGGGGCGCAACGGCGGCAGAAACAACAGCAGCAATGTTGAGAGGTGTGCGTCGCATGCAAAAACAACAGGCCGTTCACAAGCGCCCAGAGGGGGAGGGGGGGTTGAGCTCATGTAGTCACTCATAGTCGTGCATGCCGTAGTCGGTAGATCATTGACCTCGCATCCCTACAAAGCCGGGACGGAGCACGCCGGGTTCTCACCGGACCAGGCTCTCACATCACCAAGCGCGAAGCGCCGTGAGATATTCGGCGAGTCGCATGAAGGGTGCGCTGCATCCTGCTAAGGGTGTTCGGCATCTTGTGCTTACTTCCTTGCGTACGGATGACAGCTGCGTATAACCAAGTTTATTGTCTTTCACTTCCAGAGACGGTTGTAAGCGCTGTGTAACTGCCTCGAAGGTGCTTGACCAATTTAACACAACGTGCGATCATCGCCTTTGCGCGGAATGAGGGTTCTCGACCCCGCACAATATCATCAACTCGACCACCGTTCACGGTTACCGCCAAAAAAAAACAGCCAAAAAAAAAGCGGTTGAGGGGGGAGGATAAATGAATGAAATTTGAGTGAGCACGTTCGGCAAGGAGAAGGGCAGGCAGTGTACGAAAGAATCGTCTTCAATAGGGGCCTTTGGCAACCCTGTCTGCGCTGCGTATTTTTCACGGTTGGATTGGGGCGCGAATGACGGGGTATCGCTGACCAGACATGCCTTGATGCAAGCACGGAGCGTAGGGGAGGCCGGGAAGCGCGCAGAACCCTTCGTTTCACCCAGGAAATCTAAGCAGAGGGTCTGCCTCAGCCTTAAGTACAGTGGGTCGTCTGCGGTCCAGCCCACGTACAGCTTGCGTGCAGCATTCTCCCACGCACTCGAGGCTATTGAATGTGTAAAGGGTGGTTCCGGTTGTACTTCTCTCGCCGTACGTGCGTATCGCTTCTGCTGCTCTTACCCCAATCTTTAATCTACCTGTCCATACCGGTACTACCGTACTACCTGGCATGTCCTATCGTCAGCTATCCCGGCACTTAGCCGAGAAAAGTTGTGTGCAGTAGTTGCGCCTTTCCTTCCTAGCTCCCGATGTGGCATATAGAAGTATGGTCGGCCGCCGTCAAACAACAAATTACGAGCACACGAGCACTCCCGAACGAACGGAGCCATTTTCATCAACCAATTCTATTGCGCATTGTGTTCCGCAAACAACAAGGGCTCAATAAGCTGCAACAATCTCCCGCAACACACACATACCTGCTGTCCTCACGCCCCCCCCGGTCATCGTGGTGACGGTCCATCCCCCCCTCCTCCTCCTCCTCCTCCTCCTCCTCCTCCTCGTGCTCCTCCTCCAGCGTCCCTCCGGAGCCCCCGCCGCCGCCGTTGCTGCTCCTCCCCCTGCCCCGCCCCCCACCGCCGCCCCCACGACCACCGCCCCCGCTCGTCCCCCTCGGTGGGTAGAGCAAGACGGGAGCGTTGCTGTCGTCCCCCATGCTCTCCGTACTGTCAGCGGGGCTGCTGCCGACGGAAGCCTCGAGAGGCGAATCCTCCCCGACGGTTCGGCGGCCTACCCCGGAAAAATCGACACTCGTCTCCGTTACTACGGCCGGGTGCGATCCGCCCAATCCGCCGCCATCGGCGGCGTCAGCAGCCTGCTGCTGCTGCTGAGAAGGCGGCCGGGGCGGCTGGGCAGGGCCGCCATCTTGTGACATGGGCGAGCAGGTCTTCGCCTTCTTACAAAGGTTGCGGCTCCTTTCCACCGCCTGGATCAACCAACATTAATCCAACAACCAAAAGGGGCGGGAGGGGGGGGGGGGGGG